GATTGAGTGTCTTTTTCATTAAGATGTAGCAAGGGTAATGTTTTTGCTTGCAAGCTAAAGTAAATATTTAATTTCATAAGCCACTTATTTTTCACTTCCATCACTCCTACTTCTACCTTGACAACTATTTCTCAAAAATCAAATCTAAAAGTATTTATTTGTTTTTCCCTAAAACAATTATATGACATTGAGTTGGGTTTCTAATATTAGGTATACGAATGTTTTAAAAACATATTATAACTAAGTGTCTTCTAATACTGCTCTATTAAATTAACATATTCATAAAGTGTTAAGTGAGACAGTCCACCAGAAATCAAAATTAAAATGAATTTTGATGTCTCCAAACAACGTGAGAGGCACTTGCATCTTCCGAATTTCGTCAAAGCATTTAAACTATGATTGCTTAACATGTTCAAATAAGCTATTGAATACTATTTTCCAGATAGATCACATTTTTAGTGTTTTCACTTGTGATATACATGGATTTGACTCTCCTGTTACTTTATTGCAAGGACTCTGTAGTGAATGTCTTGAAGGCATAGACAATTTAAGTTGAATCTCTTCTTATAAAAAAAGAAGCTGCGAATGGACAATTCTCAATGTCATTTCAGAGTCACTAGCAATGAAAGGGAATCTATTTAAGGATTTTTCTCTGCCTTTCATTGGTGAAGAAAGCTTTAGGTTGGTTTACACCCACACTACTTTATTTGCAATTTAATTAGAATGAATGTCACTGGAGGCAAATACTGTGTGCAGCATTTCTAAATTCATTTATAAAGATGCCTACTAGATAATGCAGATTCAGTTTCAGGAGTTTAGTTCCTATAGAATTGTAGGTAGGCTAGAGAGAATTATAGTCCCTTCTAATCATTACAATGTATGCATGAAGTACTTCAAGCCAGCTTATTCATCACTCCTGAAATGCTGACAAAATGCTTAAGGGCCTACTTCTTCTGAAGTAAAATGAGAAAATCTCCCATTCTTTAAGGTTCAGGAGAATATTGTGCACAGGTAGATCTCCTTTTAAATGACACTTCTTATAATGTGCAGACAAAACCATGGTTTAGTTACTGCTGTTCCTCAGCATGTTACTTTGTACATAAACTTAAAGCTGTATCAGGGAGAGAAACCCACTGCTAAAAGGTTGTAAGGCATGGGATAGAATGCCTTTAATATTCACATATTCAAACATCATCATCCTGAAGACTGTATCTCTTACTGAAAATTCTATTCATGTATGAGGCTATCAATTCTTAATGTAAGAGACATTCAAATTTGCAAAATAATTTGTATATGTTTAAATATTTTTATTTAACTTAGTAAAATAATGGATTTAATTATAATGGATGCATATTGTATTGAAGTTGGATTGTTTTCACAATAAGGTACTTTCTTGTAGTAGCATATAATGATATTGTATATAATAGATATAATGAAACCATTTGGTGGCACTATTTTAATAGAATCAGAATTTATCTGAACTTAGGTCTGAATTTTTCAAATTATAATCAGTAGAGCTTCACCAATTTCCCTGAAATGAATTGTAAAAAGAATGAAAAATAAGATCATTACAAAAATATTTTTAAATATATGTTTATATTTTAAAGATCATGTTATGAATATTTGAAGAGTTAAATAATATCAAATAAATGTATTTATCAGAAAACTTAACATTTTCTGAATTAGAATTGAAGCTAGAGTGATTCTAGTACTTCCAAATGTTTCTATATCATTCCACACTAAAGCTTGGATCACCTTTAAATGAAGTGCACATAAAAATTGCTTAAGTGCTCTTCGTAATTTTCAAGCAATATGTACGACATTGCCCAGAATTTGAACTCTTCCAGATTTTGTTTCCAATAAATTTAAATTGCTTTGTGTAGTGAAGAGTAATTTAAAATTATCAAAGTGCTCTAAATCCCACAGTAGAGTACCCATAAAATGTAAAGCCTTTCAATGATTTTAAATCACTACGCACATTTTAGAGTAATTTCAGCACATCAAATGCTTTGATTTTTAGTTTTCATTGCCTTAATTTGAAAGAATGAAAAAATGCCAAACCAAAATAGCATTTATTATCAGTGAGAGTTGTAACTAACGTGATTTTCAAATTGACTCAGACTTTAACATGTGAAACGTATCGGTGTTACTAATGAGTCAAAAAAAAAAAAAAAAAAAAACCTGTAGCCACCATTATAGCAAATATTTATAATACTAATTAAAATTTCTTTGTCAGACAAGATTGAATGTATTATTCTAGTATATATTCACAGTGGGCGCATAGTATAGTTTTCTATTTTACACATCCCATGTGAGTGTGAAAGTTGGCTACTTGTAACTTCTCAGAGATATTTACATATAATTTATAAAAATCTGAATTGATTCAAAATTAGGAAAACGGAATCACTCAACTACATTGGCAAATGCTCAAAGAATAACCAGTAAAGGCAATAAAAATGCTTCAAAATTTAAAGTAACAAAAGATTTATATTTTGATTCTAAGAAAACACAATAAAATTTGCTGACAATTACCAAAAATATTAGAATATCTCATATATGATTAAGTAAAACTCACTTGATTGATAGTATACCCAATTAAATTAAGAGCAATAAAATGCTGGTGTACCAAAGGGGTTGATAAATAACACACTCTTGTATGCCCAAGTTCTTAATCAAATGAGAAACTGGATAACAAACCAGTAAAGTTAAACTAAATTTGGGAAGGGAGCTTATAATGCTAGATTCCAGAATTGTTCAAGTGTCTTCTGTCTAAACAGATTCTTTCTCAGGAAAAAGCTGTTTTACTATAGGCCAGAGGAAACAGCTGTGCATATGGCTTTTGAGAATCTCTTAGTTCCAAAGAAAAATGAAACAGAGGGTTGTAGTCTTTGTAAAGAATTTGTCTTCCTCAACTTATCAATTAACATTTACTCATCTACGCATCATGAATAGAATGAAATCAGGAATGGATAGGTAATAAAGTGTTACACTGAGGAAGCATCAGTAATAGAGATAGAGCATTCTCTCTTCATGTGAGAGAGTGCATCAATGAAGAGAAATCTCTTGTATGAATATTACTTCCAAAAAACGTTAAGATAATGTCGTTAATTATTTCAACAGATGCTACAAAGCTCAGTATAATATTTAAAGATAAAATAAAATTGTATGAAATGTCCCAATTTTATTAACTTAGTCATGAAATTATATGAAATAAAAGCAACTAAGTTGTAAAAACTTGGAACACCTGATACAAATTAATTTAAATGGCATAATTCTATGTCTTAAAAAAAATAAAGTTTAAGAAATCACTAAGTATTTATACAAAGTTTATAACCTTTCCTTATACCAGCAAAGTACTTAGAGAGTAAATAATAGATAACAATCTGTTTCATTATTGCAACAAAATGGAAGGAAGAAAACAATAAATAGTAGTGTATAATAGGACAAGAAGACTAAATAAAATATATATTTGTTTATATGAACACTAAATAACAAATACTCTAAACCTGTCTATTCAAATTAATATATTTTTTGAATAAAATTCTTATTTATAGTAAGTGGAATATCAGAAAGAAGACCTAACAAAGTTATTTTAAAGTTAATCTTAAAAAATAAAAACAAAAGTAAAAATATAACCCTGAAATTCTGGTTAATCTTTGGCAGCGAAAGATCCCCATAGTCCATCCATCCTACTCATTGCAACTATAAACTTTGGATACCATTTTTTTTTTTTTTTTTTTTTTTTTTTTTGAGATGGAGTCTCACTCTGTCGCCCAGGCTGGAGTGCAGTGGTGTGATCTTGGCTCACTGCAACCTCTGCCACCTGGGTTCAAGCAATTCTCCTGCTTCAGCCTGCTGAGTAGCTGGGATTACAGGTGCCTGTTGCCATACCTGGCTAATTTTTGTAGTTTTGTTTTAAAAGAGATGGGGAACTTTGGATACATTTTTTTAGATTTAAAAAAAAAAAAAAAGTAACTTAAAAATACCCTAATTGAAAATTCTGAAAATAAACAAGTCAGATTTTTTTTTTTTAAGAGAAATCAAATTTTGAAATAGGAACTGTCATTAAAGTGATTTTCATTATTTCTTTTTTCCTTGGGATATTTTTTCCCATTCACACAGTGGAAAAGCACAGGTGACTACAAATCTCACTAGACACTCTGCTGTCTATTTGGCTAGGAGAAAAACAAAAACAAAAATAATTAATGGACATTCTGTGGGCTAGAGAGAGAAACGAGATTCAGGAGGAGAATTAGGGATAAAGAGCCCTACAGGTAGTAAGTATCAGTAGAGACAAAGGAATGTTACAAAGGAAACAAATGGAAATTTTTTCAATGAAAATTAAAATATCTGAAATTAAAAATTTATTAAGTTCAAGAGCAAAAAAAAAAAAAAAAAAATGTTGAATATAAAATAGTATGTCCAAGAAGCCAGATCTAACTTCTTACTGCCTACAAGGAATCCACTTTGAATACAAAGAAAATGGTCATAATGTAAACCAATTAATAGATCAGTAGAAATTCCCCAACATAAAGAACACAGAACAACGAATGAGACTAAAGAGATACTTTGAAATAGAAAAATAAGAAAACCTCAAAACGTGAAGGACAATATTCAAAGGTCTAACATATGTGCAATTTCAGTAACCAAAGGTAAAACTGGGGAATACTTCCAAATACCCAAAGAGTTTCAAAATCTGCAGTACAGTCAATGACATAAACTTATGAATTAAAGAAGCTCAGCAAATTCCAAATAGTATAAGTAAGACATCATAATGGCTAGGCAGATAAAAAGGGGTCCCTAGAGAATTTCCGACCTGCCCCACAAATCTTTACATTAGATGTGTTTGTGCAGATGAGGGAACCTGCCCAGGGCTTGTCTGGGCATGCCCACTGTGGACTGGAGCCTGACATGTTCACTGGGGCAAGGTGGCGGGGAGCCGTGAGGAATTCATGCCTCGAACAGGGGAGGAGTCTGCCTTTTTCAGCCTCTGTGGTGACCTGGGAATCAATATGTGAGGTGGTGCTTTTTAGCAGGAACCCCTCTCGCTTTGCTAATAGTTTTTTGTTGGTGTTTGTTTTCCTTTTTGCCCAATAGAACCCTGCTCTACTCACCCTTCAGTGTGCCCATGTGCCTAAATGTTCCTGGTCATGTGAAAAGGACCCAAGTATTAGTTGAACTATTTTGGCACCCAAACAAGGGGCTTGAGAAATGGTGAGTAAGATGTGAACCAAAACGCCCCCTTTTTTCCTTTTGCTTCTAAGCCTTTGTGTCCTTGGGCTTTTTCTGAGGGTAGGGGAAGCTATGCCTCCCTCCTCTCCACTCCTGTCACTTCCAGGGGTCGGGAATGTCAGCCTTTTACTGTTTTTAAGGGATAGACAGGTGAATCAGAGGCTCCCTTCTCCCCTCTTAAGTTCCTCACCCTGTTGGAGGAACCCATTTCCATAAGAATAAGATGTTCTTCCTGCAGGCATCTTTCCAACCATGAACTTTGAATTTTTCTGCCTTTCTCTACTCTGCCAGCAGTTAACTTTTAAGTGAGAGTTTTTATTTTTTTTCCTTTTAGAAGACATTTTACTAGGTCAGGAATTATAAGGATCACTGTTTATATTATCTGTAAAATTTTAATTATTAAAAATGATTTATGAGGTTGGTTTTAATCTGTAGCCAATCTAGTGTGCTTTGCATTCTGTATGATCAGTAGCAAGCTTTGCTGCAGGTCTCCATTTGTTTTACATCTTTGAAAGTGTGACCGGTAACCTCATGGTGAGAGGTGACAATGTGTCAGCAGCCCTCACTCTTGGCCCCTCCTCGGCCTGGGCATCCACTCTGGGGGTGCTTGAGGAGCCTTTCAGCCTACCACTGCACTGTAGGAGCTCCTCTCTGGGCTGGCGGAGGCCAGAGCCAGCTCCCTCTGCTTGTGGGGAGGTGTGGAGGGAGAGGCAAGGGCAGGAACTGGGGCCCTGCGCCTCCAGGCCAGCGCGAGTTCCAGCCCACCCGCGGGAGGGCTCATCGGGCCCGCACTGGGAGCGGCCCAGGGCAGTGAGGGGCTTACCACCTGGACCAGCAGCTGTGATGGGTGTACTGGGTCCCCCAGCAGTGCCAGCCTGCCAGCGCTGTGCTCAAGTTCTGGCCAGTCCTCAGCTGCTTCCAAGGGGATGAGGAGTATGAGTGCACAGTGCGGGACTGGTGGACAGCTCCACCTGCAGCCCTGGTGCAGGATCCACTGGGTGAAGCCAGCTGGGCTCCTGAGTCTAGTGGGGACTTGGAGAGAACCTTTAAGTCTAGCTAAGGGATTGTAAACACACCAATCAGCACTTTGTGTCTAGCTCAGGGTTTGTAAATATACCAATCAGTACTCTGATTAGTTAATATGTAGCTAACCTAGTGGGGACTTGGAGAACCTTTATGTCTAACTAAGGGATTGTAAATGCACCAATCAGCACTCTGTGTGTAGCTCAAGGTTTGTAAATACACCAATCAGTGCTCTGTGTCTAGCTAATCTAGTGGGGACTTGGAGAACCTTCTGTCTAGCACTGTGTCTAGCTCAGGGATTGTAAACACACCAATCAGCACTCTGTCAAAATGGACCAATCAGCTCTCTGTGAAACGGGCCAATCAGCTCTCTGTAAAGTGGACCAATCAGCAGGATGTGGGTGGGGCCAGATAAGGGAATAAAAGCAGACTGCCCCAGCCAACCAGTGGCAACCCACTAGGGTCGCCTTTCACACTGTGGGAGCTTTATTCTTTTGCTCTTTGTACTAAATCTTGTTTCTGCTAGGTCTTTGGGTCCACGCTGCCATTATGAGCTGTAACACTCACTACAATGCTGACAAAATGCTTAAGGGCCTACTTCTTCTGAAGTAAAATGAGAAAATCCCCCATTCTTTAAGGTTCAGGAGAATATTGTGCAGCTTCACTTCTGAAGCCAACAAGACCACGAACCCACTGGGAAGAACCAACAACTCCAAACACGCTGCGTTTAAGAGCTGTAATGCTCACCACGAAGGTCTGCAACTTCACTCCTGTCAGCAAGACCACGAACCCACCAGAAGGAAGAAGTTCCAGACACATCTGAACATCTGAAGGAACAAACTCCAGACATACTGTCTTTAAGAACTGTAACACTCACCGTGAGAGTCTGAGGCTTCATTCTTGAAGTCAGTGAGACCAAGAACCCACCAATTCCGGACACAATGACAACGTTTTGTTAGCTTCCACCGTTTTACAATGGCAACTGAGTTCAGTCGTAGCTTAGGCAATAAACCTTTTCTGGTTTGATATCTGGATGACCTTTGCAATTTATTTGTTCTTTTCCCCTCAACAGCCTTGGATTTTTCTTTCCTTTAGCCTTTAGGAAAGTTTGAAAGCCAGAAATATCAACTGCTTGGCATAACTAAAATCAGATAATAAGGGATTTTTAAAAATTAAAGAGCACTCAGCTTAATTAAAAGTGTACATCCAAGTTATAGTCATATTTAAAAGGCCTTTATTTATTTCCCACCCTCCCTTGGATTTTGTTTTGCTGGAAAAGGGGTGTTTTTCTCAATCGGCTGAATTCTTTTCTCCATTTTCTCTTGGCATTCGATGGATGCATGAGACTAAGAAAGCTCTGGGGGACATGGGACTCCTTGGGAAAAACAGAAGGCACTACTGACCCCATTTTGGGAAGAAATCTGTTTTCATCATAGAACCCCAGGAACTAAAAGCAGATACATCCCTCTCAAAATCTGTTTTTGGGTCCCAATTATGGCTGTGTATTATGCCCTAGAAGCAGCATGTTTTCGTCCCCTAAAAGGATCCAGCTAGAAGACTGTAATCCAATTCAGAGACTGGCAAATGAAAAATTTTGTGGCTGCTGAGTTTTCTTCTGCCTGGCTATGTAGTTATATATGTGTTGTGTTTGTGATGTTTATAAAAATAGTACTAATTCATTGGCCTAAAGAAAAATAAGCACTTGGATCAAATATTTGTTAATGGAAAGATAAAAGCTGTGGTAGCTTTTAGTTCTCGTGACTTTAACCTTTGAGAAATAAAAACAGCCTAAAAGATTATTTGGTAAAATGCAGATGCCATCAAAATGTAAATAGGTGGACTAAATTATACTGGTCAGGTACTAGGTTTGCTAAATGTTTTAAGGTTACAAAATGCTTTTTGAAACTGATTCAATTTGCTGGCTTCACAACTGGTAAGGCCTGGGGACATATGTTACTAACTATGCCCTTAATTGTGCTGGAAGAAGTCAAACCTTGACTGCACCTAGCACATAATTTAAAAAACTTACCAGGTTTTACTTTGAAGGTAACAAGTACTAGGAGTTACCATTATAACATGTAATTGAGACTACTAAAAATATATTTACATTTCAGTTAGGTAAGGACAGTGAAATGTGTTTTTAGTACAAGATTATAAGAAGGCATAGAAATGTAAAATTTTGCCTCAGATTAAATGGTTGTTTTGAATTAAGTAAGATAACAGTAAAAGTTCAAACAAGTTATGAAGGATTGTAAAAGCTAAAAGTTAACCTTGCAAAGGAAATTCCATGTGTGAACATATTGACTAAATTCAAAGGATGCCATATGGTTTTTCTGTAAATTCAGCTTTGAAATAAAAGCACAACAAGGTACTCTTAAAGTACTAAGCTACTCTTCAGCAAAATTTGTAAAGAGCTATAACAGGTTTTTGCTTTTAAAATTTCTGAGTCATCATTTTGGCAAAGTAAATAACACGGTAATCTGGAATTCTATTTCATAACATCAAGTATTTTAAATCACTAACGTACTTAACAGGCTTTCCAAAATGAAACTTCAGTTTCAAAATTGTCTTTCTTGACACCAGACTTTTGGATGCTACAGAAGACACATGCAGAATCAAAAAAAAAAAAAAAAAAAAAAAAGGGAAACAGGATTATCTGATATGTTTTTAGTACATGGGATTGACAAAATGGTGTTCAATCTTTTTTATGTTGTATTTTTGAGAGTAATACTAATATATGTTCCAAAATTTATGGGATTTATAAAATTCTAATGTTTGCGCATATGCTATCAATCATAATTATTAACTATTATGTTATTTTAAACCATGGACATAACCAAATGTATTTGTCAATCATGTTTCTGAATGCAACTACCCTAGACATTTTGTACTCACAAACCATTGTTGTCTTGTTTTGATCCTCTTCAATCAATGGTTTATAATCAGTTATGGAACTTTGACAGGTGTTCTCAAATGCAAGTTTCTGATGACTTTGGAGATTGTGACATTGGAATAAAGGAAAAACAGGACTCATGAAAATTGAAATGTTCATGGATATCAAGCAAGAGTTAACTGAGTGGACTGAACTAATAGAAAACTTAATCTTTTTAACTTTTGCTTGGAATATTGCTGATCATTGTTTTGTTTTTCAGAGTCCAGGAAACTTATTTTGAACTATTTATGGCCTTTAATAGTTGAGTAAGTTGTACTCCTGCAAACAAAATTTGGAGCATATTTGTCTCTCTCTGCTTGGCTTCTCTAGAATTTGGAAACCAGTATTGCATATTCTTAACTTATGCCAGTATAGTCATTTGCATCAGTGCATTAAGAATGCAATTGGAGCAACTGGTTATTTTGCCAGGCTTTGATTGGAAATGTGTGCTCTTTAAGGAGTCAAGCTCAACTTGCAGAGCTGATGAGAACTCCTTGGGAAAACTGGCCTCAAATGCTTGTCTACACAGTCCACATACAGGATTCTTAACCTGCAGTGAGTAAAGAATATCACTTTCCAACAGGCTCAGACATCATATGCTCTTGGGACCTCAAGAAGAGCGGAGTTTACCCAATTCACAGTTACATAAGGATAAAAACCTAGGCTGGGCTCAGCTTTAAATGGTCTTATCTGAGATTCTTTGTGAAACAGATTTTCATGATAGCCAATCTAAAGGGCCTAGGTAGAAATAATTGTTTTTGCTGCAGTTTGTGCAAGTAATCAAGCCAAGTATAAGATTAAAGTCTATTTTGCAAGCAATACACTCTTATTATGATTTGTTTTTAACAGAAATGAGGACAAGACAGAGATAAATTATGATTCAAAACTTACCATCATTAGTTTCTAGACTTATTATTTGTTTTTAAGTTTTTGCCTACATTTTAGACTAACCTTGCTTATTCCTGTGAACCAGCCAACCATCTCTGGTTGCAGCTCAGAAAGGACAAAAGGGGATGAGTAATGTAGAAATCTGGATCAATATTTTAGTTCTGAACAATTATCCTGCAAATCCTGCCAGCTGATGGGAATAAATAGGATGCCCATCACCCGAAGGTTTCCTTTTTGGGAAAGGGAGCTAACCAAAGCAACACCCCATGCACCCAAATCTTAACAAGCATAACTATAGCCATCAGTTATCTGGGTGTGTCACAAGACATCCTTTTCTTTCCTTTGTTGGAGGAGAACTCAATTCCACAGCTTCACTTTAGCATTACAGCTTGTGATAAGGAGTCTATGCAACTTCCATGCTGAGACACAATTTTGGTACCAAAGTCATTTCCAAGTTTATATCAAAGGCCTAAGAAAACTGGATCTTAGAGATCCAGAAGACAGACAATAGTGAAAGTCAAAAGGTACAGCACAGGTGAGCATGACTGATTCCTGCTGATTAAGCCAAGCTTCCTGTTTCATGGATAAAAGTCATGCTAGTATCCATGGCATAAATGAAGTTTAGAGAATTCAAAGGCTATTGCCAGCAGGGGAGATAGGGAGTACATACGAAAGAGCAGTTATTCTCATCCCTAGGCCCCATGTTAACATAGATGAAAGCCACTTTGACACCCATGGGTGGCACCCTGTCACAGTTGCTGGGACTCAGTAATAGAAGGACAGGGGAAAGAAAGAGGAACAACTCACTTTCTCTCCCTCACACACCCTGGGTATTTGCTAGTTAAAGAAAGGAACCAGGCACACATGCTCCCCTATTTCTAAATGAGTAGCCATTCATCTTTAGTCTGCACCCTTTTAGAACACATTCTGAACCCCTGGGACCCTTCTGAAAAAAATGCCTTCTTTTTTCCTTTTTCTTCCTCTGTCCTCTATTCCCTGATAGGTAGCTAATGGTGTCACGTATCACGGGACACTTCCCTCAGATGCATCCTTCAAACTGGAAGGAGTTAATTTCTCAAACTGTAAACTAATTGACTTAGGATTAGGTTTAGGGGAAGGGAATGCGGAAACCTGACATGCCAGCAAAAGGGTAAAAAAAAAAATTTTTTTTTTTTAACCCATTGGGCTTTTGACCTCTCTCTCCCTGTACAAACTGGTAAAAGGTCTCTGGACTTTCAAGTTGTCCTTACCCACTCCTTGTTTCATTTTGATACATATTTTCTAATAACCTGTTTGTCTCTTCTCACTTTTAGGCCATCAGACTCCAAACAAACTACAACTGGAGCTTTGGATGATGGCCTTTTTTTTACTAGGAACCCTGAGATAGGCCTCTGAGGGAAATCTGACTACCGTTTTCCCAAAACAGCTTCCCTGTCAGCAGGAAGCAATTAAGATTGGTCTTCATCCTTATCGTTATCCTTATTCTAATGACAGTTAGAGGTATTTCTTTAGAGGGAGGAATGAGACCCTCAAATGCCTAGGCAGATAAAAAGGTGTCCCCGGAGAATTTCCGACCTGCCACACAAGTGTTTACATCAGATGCTTTTGTGCAGATGAGGGAAACTTCCCAGGGCTTGTCTGGGCATGCCCACAGCGGACTGGAGCCCAACACTCACTGGAGGAAGTGAGTGGCCATGGGGAAGTCATGCCTTATGCAGGGGAGGAGCCTGCTCTCTTGAGCTCCTGTGGTAACCCGGGAATAAATCTGTGAGGTGAGGACCGGTTAGCAGGAACCCCTCTAGCTTTGCTGAAAGTTTTATTTTTTCTTTCTGCCCTATAAAGCTCTGCTCTACTCACCCTTCAATGTATCTGCATTCCTAAATTTTCCTGGTCATGTGACAAGAACCTAGGTTTTAGCTGAACTAAGGAGCAAAATTCTGCAACATAAGATCTAAGAAAACTATGCCTAGATTCATTAAATCAAATTGTTAAAAAGCAAGTAGAAAAAGTCTTCACAGCACTAGACAAAAATGAAACATTATACATAAATAAGTTATAGTTTGAATGGACTGTCAGAAACCATGACTAGAAGACAGTGGAGCAACATTTTCAAATTTCAGAGAGAGAGAAAGAAAAAAAAAAGAATAAAAAAGAAAAGAAGACATAATAAAACACCTGTCAGTTTAGTATTCTATACCCATTGAACATAACCTTCATTAGAATGTGAAGTAGACATATGTAGGTGAACAAAAAATCAAGAGAACAATAGTTATGTTCTACATGAAATTATAAAGGAAATTTCTCAGGCTGGGTGGAAATTATACTAGTGAGAAACAGATTGAAAGGACTAAAGGAAAAGATGTTAGACTGACAAACTGAATTTTTAAAAGCCAGATCTAACTTATCGTCTACAAGGATCCACTTTGAATATTAAAAAAAGGTAATAATTAAATAATTAAATTGAATAATTAAATAATTCAAATGAAAAATGAGCACATGTAGCTTGGAGAAGATGTATTAACATAAAAAGGACTTTAATAAAAACAGTATTATGCATAGTGATAGAAAAATTTATCAGAAAAATAATATCATTTATAATGTATATACCTAATAAGAGAGCCTCAAGATATTTGAAGCAAATCTGACAGAATTAAAAAGAAGAATGGATAAATAAATTCACAATTATAGAAGAAGATTATATACCAGTTTCTTAGTAATTGATACAACCACTGGGGAAATAATAAGAAAACAATAATAAAGACATAGATCCAAATAACACTTTGGACTAATCAATATTTCTAGAAAACTGCAGAGTCAACATTGTTTTCCAGTGTTCGTGTATATTCACCATGGTAGACCCTTTACTGTACATAAACCTAATGTAGATAAGTTTAAATAGATTAACAATTTATAGAGTGTATTATCTCTATAGAGTGTATATCTCTAATTAGGTTACAATGAAACCTAATTAGAAATTAGTGACTGTACTCTAGGAAAGCAAAGTTCTTTTAAAAGATCCATTAGTCAAAGAGGAAAACTCTAAAATGTAAATTATATGAAAAGAGAGTTTAATTTTACACATTGTTTGGTTCCCAGTGTCAACAAGAGTGACTGACAATTAATAAATGGTTAACAATTTTATTATAAGAAATGCCCCAGGGGACAGAGAAATAAATAATAAGGAAATATACCATGATTTTTCATGAGAAATAAATGATGACAGGTTTTTCATGAAAGATGTAACAGAGACCCAGCATGGGGCAGGATGGCAATAAACATTGGTCTATTTCCTAGGAAACACACAGATTAATGGCTAAAAACACACGCCTACAAAAGACAATACTTAGAGTTTCCAATCAAGACTCTATTACAGACTCTATAAACTAGAGCAGTATTCTAAAATTATTGATTGTTTAGTTTCCTAATAGAAAAAACTTAAGAAATAATAAAGCAAAGCTTTTTTTGTTGTTGTTGCTGTTGTTGTTTTTATGCCAAGCTTAATTGAAGTGATTTGTGTTAAAGTGTTCAGTACAGTAACTGTTTCAAAACAAAGAAATCAATGAATAATGCTGTTATCACAATTATATGCTGTCAATGCCAGGAAGACTAGACATCTGATTCCTAACATCAAGGTCTGTAAGACTGTGTGAACTTTGTAACCTCACTTAATCTCTTAGACATATGTTTCCTTTAAAGAAAACATGGGGGAAAAGAGTATTTGTGTGCTCTGGAGCAATTTAGAAATCACTTCTTGGGGGAAAATGGCCAATAGAATATTAATATTAATATCATTGTGAATAAATGGTTTAGGAGGTTCTACAAAGAAAATAAATCAATTTAGAGAGTAAATGTAATCTACAAATACAATAACTCATTTTATCAAAATATTTTGGCATTAGTATGGATTTTTACACAGTGAACAAAACACACTTGATTTTCTTTAGGAAATGAAATACTATTATTAAGAAATGAGTAGATAGAGGCTTAGCCCTATTTTTGAAATGACTCTCTAAGGTCTTACAAACTGAAAAATCAAAACCCAAGACAAAAAAATTAGTTTGCAGAAGTCAGTATTATCTATAGGAATTAACAAAGAAAAAGACTCAAAACTCTGAATATTTAATGTGTGAGTTTATGAGGGTTTGTTGTTGTTGTTTGTTTTTTGTTTTGCTTTGTTTTGTTTTTTTGAGATGGAGTCTCACCCAGACTGGAGTGCAGTGGCACGATCTCGGCTCACTGCAACCTCTGCCTCCCGGGTTCAAGTGATTCTTCTGCCTCAGCCTCCTGAGTAACTGGGACTACACGCGCCTACCACCATGCACGGCTAATTTTTGTATTTTTAGTAGATATAGGGTTTCACCATATTGGCCAGGCTGGTCTCGAATTACTGACCTTGTGGTCCACCCACCTTGGTCTCCCAAAGTGCCAGGATTACAGTTTTGAGCCACCGTGCCCAGCCAAGTTTTTAAATATTTTATTATTTTTGTTACTTCCCTTGGTCTCCACTTCCCCTCTCTGAGTTAAAATGCCTTGATTTGTCAAGAAAATATGTAGTGAGTATCCACTATGTATAAATCTTTGCACCATTTGCCACAAGAAAGGCTGATATCAATTATATAAAGCCTTAGAATGTACTAGAAGCAATAAGGACAAAAGAGTGACAGATAAATAAAACAGAAATATACCTAATATTGCTTTAAAGTTATAATTTGTAATTTTAATTCAACCTGTAGCAGTCTGGTTAGTCTTGAGTATTTATTGAAATTCTATGGACTGTATTTGTAAACTGAAGATTAAAACAAATAGCCTGCAGATTTTCTGTATGGACTTACTGGAATGGTATATATAAAGTGCCTGCCTGACATAAAGTAAGTCACTTCATATATAGTAGTTACTGTAATTATGTTTGGGGAAAACCAAGAAAGTTTTATGAGAAAATGTGTCCTTTGAGCTTTTACAAACAACTTAGTAGGTAGAGTCTGAAAGTTAAATGTGTGTGTGTGTGCACATGTGTGTGCCATGGCCCACTTGTACAATGTTCAATTCCACAAACCACCCATCAAAATATGTGTTTAAATGCATAAATTACATAGAAATACCTAGTATTACAATAAGCATGAAATAATTGACAATTATTACAGTATTTTATAAATTGTAACATATATATGCTTCTCATGACACAATAAATAAGCAAGCATTTAAATCCAGGCAGTTAAATTTTGTGTTTCAAGAAGGGTTAGTGTAACAAATGTAATGGCTGAACATTAAACTCTAGGCTGGTTGTTAACTGTCTTTTACATATTGATCAGCAAATGATTGTGAATGGGCAATGACAGAAAGTCACTTCTTGTCTGGATCAGAAGTGGAGAACTCTGAATTTGAGTGTTTTGTGGCCTAACGACTATTGCCAGGACCAATATAGCTCAATAGATGGCCAGTTTTAGGGCACAGAGGAAGATGGTAATCACTAATGTTTTGTTGATCAAAATAATTATTATGATTTTGCAGTAAAGGTAACTATAAATGGCATTTTGAGGTATCTGCAAAAGATATATCAAATGAAAATAATCTGAAATTTCAAAGATGTGTTGTTTTCATGCAAGATCTCAAAATCCCTGAATTTCACACACAGATTCCATGAACTCCAAGTTAAGAACCCATGATCTGGATGTTTGACAAAATACCTTCAGCAGAAATAATGAAAGCCCTGACATTTCTGTGTGCATGAAAACTGGAAAACTGGCCGGGCACGGTGGCTCACGCCTGTAATCCCAGCACTTTGGGAGGCCGAGGGGGGCGGATCACTAGGTCAGGAGATCAAGACTATCCTGGCTAACTCGGTGAAACACCATCTCTACTAAAAATACAAAAAAAAAAAAAAATAGCCAGAGGTGGTGGCAGGCACCTGTAGTCCCAACTACTCGGGATGCTGAGGCAGGAGAATGGCTTGAACCTGGGAGGCGGAGCTTGCAGTGAGCCGAGATTGCGCCACTGAACTCCAGTCTGGGCCATAGAGTGAGACTCGCCTCAAAAAAAAAAAAAAAAAAAAAAAAAAAAACCTGGAAAACTTTAAAAATGAGAAATCACTAAATCTTTATAAAAATCGATGAGTTAAGTGTGTGTTAGCTTATATCACAGATGAGGAAACTGTGACATGGGATGGATAAATAATTTGCTAAAGTCACATAGATTGTGAGTGGGAAACTGGAAGTGGTTAATGCTTCAATAACTACATTAAAAGACTTATTCAAAAGGCTTTTTCACGGATGCATTTATTCTCTTCTACATAATTAGTAATGAAATTTTAGTAATATCTGTAGCAAAAAGAACCAAGTTTAGGTTGTTGTACAAAATGGCAAATGCATGGAGGGTCAGTTATACCACAAAAAGTTTTATGAATACTCAAACTTACCTACTAATGGCAACAGTGAGAGAGAATGTGGAGGTCATCCTAAAGAGACAACATCATCTCATCCAGGTCTATCAAATCTAATCTCTCCTGTATTACTTTCTCATTTTTAATTTAGTGTTTTTCATATGCTGCTATATGTATGCCATTTTTCACTCTATATGATTTGGGAAGATTTTCTTTAAACAATAAAACAAAATTATTGACCACATCCTCGACATTGAGTGATCATATAATTTAGGCTAAATAATTTATCCTTATATAAATGAAATAATATTCTCCCTGAAAATATAGAAGACTAATTGGTGTGTGTGTGTGTGTATATATATTATATATATATATATTTTAATCAATATGTATATT